CATTTAAAAATTGCATATCCTCCTTTTAGTAGGTATTCCATCATTTTTCCCGGTTAATTGCCTATTTGGTGTGTGATGTGGCATTTTTATTTTCTTTTTTTCATTTTCTTTTTCTTTTCTTTCCTTCCTATTCTCCTTTCTTTTCTACGCTTTCTTCCCTGCGCCTCACAGTGTCTGCAACTACTTCCTTCTTCCTTCTTCCTTCTTTACTTCTTTCTTTCCCCATTTTCTTCTTCCACCCAGTGTTCTGCTCGGGGTTTCCCGACCTTCACCCTCCTCCCTACGCCTCTTCTCTACTGTTGACTAGGGTCTACACCCAAATTGAAGCTACGGATCTGGGAGTGGTCTGGAGGCTTCAAGAGCACCGTCTCGAACTTGCTGACCCAGAATCTTTGACGGAGCAGCTTCCCCGACTTCTAATCCATCGAATCGCGGAAAGGGGAAGACTGGCGTGCGAGTACTTGAGCATCTCCGGTGAGGCAGCGACATGGGTTCCTCTCGGACTCTATCTAGTGTTTCGCCGACGGAAGACCAATCCTTTGCTGGCAGAAGAAAGAAGAAAGGGTAGAAGAAAGGGTGGGTGGAAGTGTGGAACTAGGAAGGGGAAGAAAGGTGGATCGGAAGAAAAGAATGGGTCAAAGGGGGGAGGCGGAAGTTTGGAATGGAAAGGGCTGGTGGAATGAGAAAGAGGGTGGAGGAAAAGTGAAAAAAGAAAGGAAAATGAGAAAGAAAAGGAAAAAAATTAAAATAGCCACATGTGTTGCCATGTGTACATGTAAAACCGATAACCTAGTCACTACCGGTTAAAAGGAAGATTTGATATTTTTAAATGAGTTCAAGGGTTTGATTGAGTGAACTTTAAGTAAGACGGTCTAATTGATTTTTTGAAAAGGTGGGGGTTATTTGATAGTTTTCCCAAGTAAATACATATAGAACTGACATTTACCAGACCAAATCAGACAAGACCAGAAAATTACAGTTTAATTAAAAACATTTTTAGTGAAATTCTATGTCTATGTTTATAATAAAAACAAATAACAAAAAAACATGTTAAGGAGTTCCCCAAACTCTCTATGTTGTTGCTTCCTCCTCTAGTGGTGGTGACCTCCAGCATGACCAAAGTCATGTCCAGCGGCGAGTTCTCATCTAACACTATTACATTCTTATCTGGAGGCGCCGTCATCTCCTCCACATAAGCACTATCTTCTGGTGAGCATGCATGTGAGAGCGTTTAACACATTAAAATGCACTTTATGTCACAATTTTCTCGCTAAAATATGAAAAAACATGCATTATGTTACTAGAAGTAATACTTCAATTGCATTGAACAATAATTTTTCATATGTTTGCTACTACATGATCGACTTCATTCCTAAATAGCTATTATTATTCAACCGGTGATCTAAACATTTTGTAGCGGTGGTCACCTCCTCCAATGTCGTCCCTAGCTTTCATCGCCCGCTGCCTCTCCTTCGTTGCCGCCTTTTTCTTCATGAGAATTAATTACTGCCTTCATCGATGTCTCCACCATGAAATGAGTCCTTTCTTTACGATTGCCACCTCTTCTTGTACTGCCTCCACCAATTCCGCCATCTTGATAAAGACCGTGACCTCCTCCGCTCGTATCATGTCTTGGTAGATCCCCATACCCTAGTGCAACCGGGGGTTCTCCGCCCGATGCATCGCCTCCAGGTCCGGGTGCGGGTGCACCGCCACTAATATCACCCTCTATACTACCTGCACCCCCTTCATGTGGGAACCAAATCTTCCCAAAACAGTCAGGTTTTGTAACCAAACCAGAACAAAGATTTGCTAAAAGAACATAGAAAATGTATAACAAACAAATGATTTTCTTTGTTTCCATCTTCACACAGAATATGCTAGATAGCTTTACGCTGCTAGAACTATAAATGGGTGATAATCTTGATTGGCATTTTATATACTATCACTGGTCTTTCCGTTACATACATAATTAATTTGAGTTTACCAACTACTCACCATTTATAGTACTAGATGCTAGTGATTATTAATTAATAAAAATAACGTTAGTATTTAATGGCAATTTGAATCTGGTTGAGAAGCTAGCTCTGCTTATGTACGTAACTAGTTGGACTAAATAGTAGTTTATTAGTATTGGTTCACTCTAGTCTTCACTTCACGTTTAGGCGCACTATAATCAATATGACAATTAATTTCCAGGGATTACAACGGCTACAGATTGAGTAACGTACTGGCCTTGAACGACTAAATACGTACATATGAGGTTACAAGTGTAAGACTAGCTAGCTAGCACAATAATTTTTTATAAGCTTTGTTGTTGATCTTCAATTATTTCTTAAATTAGTTAATGATGTTTGATCTATAATATAATATATAATATCCTAGATAATGAAAATTGATGCGATAAAAAAAGATCATAGAATGATTGAGTATGACCGAGCTGTTTAAAGTCTAAATAGAGAAAACCATTATACGTAGAAGATCCGTTGACTAAAGATCATCATAAATAAAGATAACTTTGGTTCCATATAGGGGGGGGGGAGGGGAGGGCATAATCTATGTTTTGGTCATACACCAACCACATTCAAGCCTTAGGAGGTTTTACTTGGACCTATTTCAATACCAGATCAGACCAAATCAGATCAGATCAGTCCAAATCAGACCTCGATATTTGTAAATTATACAGAAACTAGACTAGACCAGACCAAATCAGAAAACTCTGGTCCAAGTAGAAACATCCTTAATCTCAGAAGAGTTTGGAGTCAACTAACATAAATAGTAAGACCCGTGTACCTACAATTTGTCTAAAGGCGGTGGAAGGTCAATCACCCTTCGGGCAAGCCTTTTCGCATTCGCTCTTGTTGCGGCAAGGCAAGGTGCAAGGGTCAATTTTGCTGAAAAAGTTCATGGAGAACGAGCACCCTCTCGCTAGATCTGGCCGCCCTTCATCATATCGCATCTACCTTCCTTTCCCACGACACATCAAATAGAAATATCATCTTCAAAAAGGATGTATATGTCCTTATCTATGCACTGGATTTTAAATAGTCATATATGGACTTGTAGTTTAAGAGAAATGCCAAAAATGGCGAGCTCGTGTCAGTTTGCATCTCAACTGCGGATGTGTGTCTTCATTGAACAATATGTTCATTTCGTTCTCATTATTTAGTTGTGTGTTGTTCACGAGAGTTGTATATCTAAAATTAAAGTTTCTTATGTCATGAAACTTGAATCACCAACATTGAATTATACCCTACACAAACTTATGATAAAAATACAAACACATAATAGTACAATAACAGTCTTTTAACAATATAGGAGAAAAGAGATTGACAACATTTATTAGCAATAAGAGAGAGCATTTTAACAATGTGACAATCAGTACAATAAGAGTCTTTTGACAATACAAGAGAAAGAGTCTGACAACATTTAATAGCAATAAGAGACAGTATTTTATTGGAAGGATGACCAAAATGTGGTGTATCTGAGAGACATCAAACAAATTGGACTATGAATTTGCGGTGAAACAGACACTTATGCATAATAAACACCATTAATATCACTATCCTTCATAAGAGACACCCTTGTTCCTTTGTTTGTCGATCACTGACTAGGAAGAAAATGAGAAAAAATCAAGGAAACATTATTAGTTTGAAAAAGTTGAGAGACAAAATCTAAATTCTTTTTCAATTGAGGAACATAAAGGACATTGGCTAAAGTAAGATTTCGAGAGGATATGGGGAGTTGAGTGTAACCAACTTGAGAAATGGGTAGAGAGTTATCATTATCAAGATGAATTTCATCGGGACCAACTTGAGAAATGGGGGTTTTGTGCATGACTAATTAATAATTATAGCACGTGGGGATTTGATACAGGTGAATATATCACATGGAGTCAATGTGCCGAATTTATATTTTCGAGGGGGTTTTGTGCATTAAATCCATTTATGATCATTACTATGTGAAAAATATTTTAAAATGAAACAAGTATGATAGATATTCACATTGTCACATATTATGTTTTTTTAAAGGACTGTTACTAAAAACAACTCAATAACCTCACCACAACTCAAAACAACTCTCCTTGTAGCGCTCCATAACCAAAAGGTCCACTCGCTCTCTAATCAAGTATAAAAGAGTTCACCCTAAAAAGAGCTACACTCTTTGCTGGACATGCGAGAGATTCAAAGTAACAATCGGCCATACAAGCCAAAATACTTCTGCCCACGACAACAAAACACACAACGTTCTCAAAACCCACCCCAAAAAACAAGTATTAACTGAATACAAAATACAACATATCAAAAAAAAAATCTTGGTGGAAAATTAAAACACAAAATTGCCTGCAGGTGACCAAATCCAACCTTGAAGCATCGATTTCCAATCCCTTACCCCATAGTCGCTCCAAGGCGCAGTTCATGAGGGGGCAGACCGTCACTATTTCATTTTCCTTGTTCACCATCGCACCTCCAATCTTTTCGCCAGACACGCCGCCTATCCCCACTCCTCCGGGCCGAAATGATTTGGTAGCAACGCTGTGTACGTACTCTCCCCTCCCCCATGACCTGCTCGCCTCCTGCGTTGCCACCATCTGTGAGCGATTTGTGCTGACTAACCAATACATATGCAAAACACCAGCTCCTTCACCCTCCATTATTCGTGCTGCTCTCTTCCTGAAAAGCTAAACCCAAATCGACACCGGCTAAGGCACCTTCTGAACCATAACGAAACTTTCTGCTCACTTCCGTTAGATAGAATATTAAATTTAAGGTTTGTCACACATTATGTTAGTTCTTCAATTTTTAAAATGTAGAATGAAGTTGAGTACATGCTCTATACGTGGAAATATGAATAGTAATTTCCACGTATAGGATTAAAAGAGGGGATAAATTCTTAAATAGGACCATGTATGTTTTTTTCCCAAATAGGACTATTTTACTCCTATTCTAAACATACGTATATTTCATTCCATTATTACCCCATCTCCCTTTTACGCACATCTTCCCCCTGCGCACAACCTCTCCCCCCTTTCTCTCCTACGCACATCATTCTCTTTCTTTCTTACGCATAATCGATCGACTTCACACAGGCCATCACCGTCGACTTCGCCCTGCGCACCAGATCGACTGAGTTCTCGCTCATGCTGGCGATTTCGCCGCTGCCATTAAGGTTCTTCCTCTTTCTCTCCCTCTCGTTCTTCGATTTTCCTCTATTTTCTGGATTTTGAATTGAATTTTCCAATTTTCGGACTTCTATTTTGATTTTCTAGTTTCTAGTTTCTGAGTTTTAAAACAAATTCTTATTTTCAATATTTTGGATGATTGCTTCGGATTTGGCCAAGATGGCAGAAATGTGTATATTAACATCATATTATGACAGAAATGCTTTTGTATAAATTGGTTTTTCTGATTTTTTGTCAATAGAACCGTTTTTCTAATTTCCGATTGTGCTACGAAAATTATTCCATTAAAAAATTTAGTTGTTCGAATATTTGATTATTTACTTCATGTTTTTCACTTTTTGCCAAATTTATGGCAGTTTTGTGTTACTATTTCAACATGAATCTGCCACTGTGGCAGATCTGAAACTCTTGTGTCATGACGGATGTGGATCTAATCCTCAACTCTAAATTTGCCAACATAATGACAGATTTATTCCGCCTGAGTTGTTACGGTGGTGGTGGTTCTGAGAGGATGGCGGCGGCGGTGGATGGCGACGTCGGTCATATGGCGATGGCATGGATGATGACACCGGTGTGGGAAGCGGAGTTGGCAGGGGGTGGCGATGGGTGGCAATGATGTGCAGGCAAGGATGCGGCAACCGGCGGCGAGGGCGGTGACAGGTGGCGCATTTGCCGGCGATGGCGGCAAGAGGCAGCGCCGTCTCCGGCGAGAGCGGAGGCAGGTTGCACGGGCGGTTTGGCTCTGGCGGCGGCAGTGTTACTGCTAGGGTTTCAATAGTTTTTAATTTTACATTTTTAAAATTTAAAATATTAAAGAGGGGTATTTTTGTCCAACTGTTCTGAAAATGATCCTATGAAACTTGTGTTTCCTTTATAGTCCTAAATGTGCAATTAACTTTGCTATTAGTCATATTTGATGCATTAACTCAAATATGAAAGAGTGAAAATTAGGATATTATTTAGGTTAATCTAAACAACCCCTCATTTATTATTTGCCAATGTTTTTTAAAGGAAAAGACTTAATTATCATTAATCAAATCGTTGGCTAACGCCGATACAATGAAAGAAGGAGGACAATCAATCCAAGACCGCGAATCAGACAAAGAACAAACCGCCTTTGCTAACAAATGGGCTGGCTTATTCGTTGATCACCTAATATGACAAAATGAAATAAACGAAAAGGATTTCGCCAAATCTCTAATGTCGTCTCTCAAAAGTCCCACCAAAGAGAAGCTTGAACCATTAAGAATTTCTGAGATCGCCCCTGCTGCGTCAGATTCAATTTTGACCCATATACCATCGAAATCTTTTAACCAGCGCAATGCCTCCCATATACCAAAGAGTTCAGCTCCCAAAGATGTCAGAACCCTCGGCCAAAGTTTTGATGCACTAGCCACGAACTGCCCTTCTGTGTTCCTCAAACACCAGCCTAATTCACAACTGCTTGCTCGCGTCGCCGCATCAACATTCAGCTTCCATCTTCCTTGCTCATGTTTGCTCCAGGATGCTCGGCTCGGCTCGGCTGGGAAGAATGTGACCGCCTTCCCCTGGCAACCTGCTGTTGTGCTTGCTGCCAACCTTCGACCAGAGCTCGGCCGCGGTTTACCATCTGCTTTGCTGAAGAAGTTGTTCCCTGTCACACCCTTTGATTCCGCTCATTCCACCACGCCCAGCAACCCCAAACCAGCAACTCAAGATGAGCTTTCTTCTTTCTCCGGAACTCCTCACAAATTTGATCCATAAGAGAAGCGTCTTAAATGGATCTCCACTGCCACTGAAGTTTGGTCCATAGGTCCTTAGCAAATGCGCAAAAGTCTGAACAAATGTTCCAGCGATTCCGGTGCCGCTCCACATAGCCCGCAAAGTCCCGAGCAATCCATTCCGCGTACCTGCAAATTTAGTCTCGAGGAGAGACAACCGCTGCAAACCTGCCAAAAAAACATTTTCATTTTAGGCGGAAGATTAAACTCCCACATAGCAGTCCAATTCATCCCCGGCTGGCTACCCATGCCAGCTCGCCCACCAAGCTTCTATAACAGCTTCGAGCCGAGAACTGTCCACTTTCCTCTCATCTCCAGCATAAGGAGTCTGCAATTGGAGTCCTCTTCAACGGAATTCCCCTGATGACCGCTGCATCTCTTTCTCCAAAAATATCATCAATAATATCGTGATCCCACTCTATGCGATCTGTGCAAAACAGATTTGCCACCACCGTCTCCTTCAACTCCTCAAATTTCTCCGAAATAATCCTAGGATTCTCCTTATCCAGAAGCCACGGTTCCTCCCATATATTTATTGAGTGACCATCTCCCACTCTCCCGTAATAACTATCTCAGATAAAATCCTGAGTATGGAGTAAGCTTCGCCAAATAAAGGAAGGATTGTTCCTGGTTTAGTAGATAAAACCCCCCTTTAGGGTAGTAACGAGCTTTAAAAACTCTGCTCACTAAAGAGTTAGGATTCATGAAGGTCCTCCAAGCCTGCTTAGACAACATAGAAATATTAAAGTCTCAGAGTTTTTTAAGCCCAAACCGCCAGCTTTTTTAGGAACACACATAGCTGCCCATTATTTGCCAATGTTATATGACTTATATCTATATAGATTATTTATACATGGGTCATCACCATCCATTTTATTATCACTAGGCTTTGTTCAAGATAAAGTGATTTATTATTAACTCGACACAATTTGTTATCACTCCTAGGTCCCGTTGATAACAAAACGGAAGAACATGTGTAGGATTAATAGTCTCCTTTTATAAAGTCACATTTATGATCATGATAAATTGATTCAGGTACAATTGAAAATCAAAGAACTTTAGGGGAAAACAACATGGTAATAGAATTTTAATAATTGAAGCATACAAATTATCTTTTATTAATAATAGAATATTAATACATATTTCTGGTAGAATATTAATACATATTTCTGGATACATTTAGTGCCAGCTGATAATCTTTTATAGGGCAAATTGTGTACCATGTGCAGATGTGCTTGATTTGAAATGAGTATTCTCAGTGTTTTTGTTTTCTATGTATGGTAAGTATTCTGTATATTTATGTATACATGACTAACATGATGATTCAGCCAGCCGATAACAAATTTTTTTGTTTCATACTCGATCTGATGTATTGATGAACACATTTGGATGATCAATCCATGATCTTTTGTAGGACTTATTGTTGTTTATGATGATAAGAACTAATTACATATTTATGACTAAAATGAAGATCGTTTAGTGATTAGCGACTAGAGTAGTAATAAAATCATAGTAACTTATGTTCGATTTTTAAACTTAAGTAACCATGACACTATATTGTAGTAACTAATAGTCATACTTGTGTAAATAAGTTTTATTTTAGTAATATTTTGTAGAAAACCTGTATGACAATAGAAAAGTAGTGATTTCTTCACCAATTTGATTCTTTAACTTAACTGGCACATCATAAACAATAAAATATTAAGATCTTTCAAGTTCTTGTCTAAATATTTAAACAAGGAGATCAAAGAAACCATTATTTTAGTGAAAACAGAACTTTTTAGCCTTAGAAATGTTTCTAGTCCTTGTAAATACGATGCATTTTGTTTTAGGTTCATGTAGTTTTATTAGGTTTTTTCATCCATACTATGCACTATTTTGTTGTTGGGGTTCAGACGGCCGAGGGAATTTAATCTAGCTAGTTAGCAAAGTAAGGGTGGCAGCCGATTAATGAAGAAGGAAGTCTGTTGGGGCATGTCCTTAAAGTTAGGTATTTCCTAATTCTAATTATTTGAGTGCTAGCTTGATTGGGTAACAATCCTTCTTTTATATGGAGAAGCATTTTTTAGACACAATCCATTCTCAAAAATAACATCTAAAGGAGAGTGGGGAACGGAATTGACGTGCAAGTGTGGGCGGATGCATGGTTACCATGGCAGGGTCGGGGAAGATCTCTTCACCTCGTCCTCCAGGTATAAGGGATATGAATGTGGCAGCTCTGCGTGATGTAACAGGATAACTATGGAATAGAGATGTAATTTTATCTTTGTTCAATGAGGCTGACAGTAACTTAATACTTAGTATTCCGATTAGTGCTCAAGACAGAAGAGATGGCTTTTGGTGGACTAGGGAAAAAAGTGGTGAGTATTTGGTTAAGAGCTGTTATAGGCTTCTAATGGTGAGATTTAGACTGAAGATTGGGATGGATGGAAGCATCTATGGGATTAAAGTGCCACCAAAATTTAAATATTTCACATGGCAAGTGTTAGATGGAACACTCCCAACATTTGACAATTTGAGAAGAAAAAGAGTGGAGATCCAGAATGACTAAGTTATGTGGTGAGGCGTCGGAATCGTTGGACCATGCTATGCGCTCATGTCCCTAGGTTCGAGAGGCATGGCAACATGCGGGGTTTCCTTTGGAGGATTGGTTGCGAAAGAATTTATCATCTTTGGACACTGAGAGCAGGGGCAGGTTAGTGTCCATACTTTGGAGCATATGGAAACAAAGGAATACTGCAGTTTGGAATGATCAAAAACAAAAAGCGGCAAACATGCTAAACGGGGCTGCTGGCCTGGTATGATGGCTAGCTGGAAGGAGGCTCAGAGCAGTGGCACGGTCAAGGCGAGACATACCGAGGATACAGAGGGAAATGGAAGAAACCCACCACCGGTTGTATAATTTAAAGATCAATGTGGATGGTGTCGTTAACCAAGCTGGGGGTATTCGGGCTTGGGGGTGGGCGGCCAGGAACGAGAATGGTGATTTCATCAAAGCTAAAGGGACATCCTGTGCGGCTGGCTGGCCGGAGGCAGAAACAGAGGCTACCGGAGTTAGGGACGCTATTCTGGGGCTGTAGAAAAAGGCTCGAGCAATGTCGAGATTGAGACGGATGCACTCACGATGGTGCAAGTGCTAAAAAAAGAGTTGGTTCTTCGGATCTCCATCTCATTATTGACGATATTATGAAAGTTTTAGATACAAAGAGTAATTTTCTTGTCTCTTTGCAAAAGATCCGTGAATCATTTTGCTTATGCGTTAGCAAGGGCACACATTGTAATATCAGATAAGAGGGTCACCTATGATATTATCCTTATTGTATTGTCAGCCAGCTGGTAAACGATTTATTGATTTAATATAAATTGTATCTTTTGATGATAAAAAAACTACTCTTTTTTAAACACATTATTGTCGATTTAAATCTACCTCTATATAAAAAGAGGTGGAAAAGGAGTCAAAATTCCCGCCTAAAGTCACGGGCAAGAATATGGGTCGGGTAAAATGGTACGGGTATTGAGTAGGACGTACAATTGCTGTAAATGTCAGATTTGTGATTGCTATTTACTCTGTTCGAGACTTCGAGACATCACATCAAACTGGTTGATTCTGATAAGTCAAATCTTTACGTCAACAATATAAATGTGAAACGTACCAAATTTTGTAGCCAACATCTACTTAAACGTGCTCAAGTTGATAATTTACAATGGATGTTGAATTCGGCATTTAATGTTCTCGAGATTCTAAATACTTTACTGCTAATATATTGTCTTATCCAATCACACATTTAATGTACGGTGTTACAGGATATTGTTCAATGGATGCAACAAAGTTCCTGCAATGCACAAACGCATGGTAAACCCACTATAAATATACAAGTAAATGATTTAGGAGATCAGAGCAAAAGACGGACCAAAACATAAAGCAGACTATGCAACGGGAAGAGTTGGGTTTTTACGAAAAGAGGGCGATTGTTGGAGCAATTAATACTAAAGCCATCATAAAGGGAAGAGAGGATGGAAGTGCCCTTCAGCAACGAGGAGGTATCAGTGTTTATTTATATCCAGTAAGAGTACTTTGTGTATTGAAGACTTTGTTTACTGAAAACTTTGTTTATACAAATAAAACATTTCATCACATTATTTTGTGGTTTTATTTCAGGAAGGAGTTTTAATGATCGACTAATGTGCTCGGTGACAGTAGATACAGCGCCGGAGGTGAAGCTGGGGATCGTCTCTGATGATGAGATTCCAGACGTGGCAGCAACTGAAGAGGTCTGCGCCATGGAGGTGTCCGCCGTTGACACAGAGATGGAGGTGGCGGCTTCAGTTGTCTTAAAAATTAAACACACGAATGTATGCTATAATGCAGGAATTAACCTTTTGCTGCCTTAAAGAATGAAGATTAATACTATCCTCCGTCCTATAATTCTTGCAACAGTTTGATTTTCACGGTTGTCAATGCACAACTTTGACTGTAATTATATTTAATTATGTATTAGTAAACGTTATAAAAAGTTGATATTTTAGAAATTCACATTGATAAGAGTTCAATAACATTTTATACGTAATAATTTGATTATGTATATTAGTAGAAAATCATGGTCAAAATAAGATCTGTGAATAGTGTAAAAATCACAATGTTGCAAGAATTATAAAACGGAAGAAGTACTAGGTAATAAGAATTATGTACGGAGTAGGTTATAAAACACAGTACATTAGGCCATAATTAAAATTGGATTTAGGTAAAACCATGAATATCATGCGAACCAGTACATCATAAGATGAAATCAGTTGTCAATAAAAAAATATTTTTAATATTTAACAAATAAAAACCATGAGTATATTATTTGAGGACGATGGGTATGAGGCCATACATATCCGGACCTTGGTTAGTTTTTCATACATAGTATATAACCAGGGATTATAAGCATGCCGTAATATCCATTTTAAATGTACATCATAATTAACTAGGTATTAAATAAATAAAGAAGCATGGAGTTCATAGTTTAAAGTGCAGTAGTGCACCTATAAAAGAAAGCATAATTGGCTTTATACATGAAGAATACAATATTTTTTAATTGAGTGTCGGAGACCTAATCTATTGTATTTTATGTATTCTTTGGTAGTTAATTTTTAAATTAGATCAGAAAAGATGTGGATCCTTCAAACTCTAGGCTAAGATGTGGATCCTAACAATTTTAGTGTACACAAGGTGAATGTTTACTTCATTAATTGAAGTAGAAATAATGGATATATTTTCCTTATTAATTTGATTATTATAAGTGTATTTTGTACATAGTATTTATGAATTGCAATATACTACCTCCGTCCTAGGGACAAGTTCTCACTTTCCTTTTTTGGCAGTTTCAACAAAAAGTTCCCATTTCCCTAAATGGAAAGTTATCCTACATCAAAACAGTAACAAACATTGCAAAACAGTGCCAAACAGTGTCGAAACAGTGCCAAACAGTAAAATTTACCCCTCAGTAACTTTATTTCCTTAATATGTGTGAAAGTCAACCCGGGAACTTTTCCCTGGGATGGAGGGAGTAATAGACATATTCGGGGAAGAAAATTCCCACCGTTTTTTGTAGAAAACTCAAGAAGAGATTTCTTCTATATTGCATCATTTAAAATTTTGTGGGATTAGATTATTAGCTCGGGGTATTGGGAGAACATCAACATTTTAACATTATTAATACAGCATAAATGACATATTCATATACGAAAAACACTCATTGCAATTCACTCCAGTTCATTTTTTGTGAAAAGTTAAAAGTTAAAAAGTACGGAGAACTATTTAGTTGGTAAAAAATGTGAGGAGTAATAATTAGTAGAACAATTAAGGATGGGCATTGATTTAAAATCTGAAAATATACGAAGTAGTATTTTTTAATGTTAAAGATACTCCATCTGTTCTGAAAAGGTTGGCCAAATTTCATTTTTTGGATGTTCCAAAAAGATTTGTCATTTCCATTTAAAGTAAGAAATATGTGGCTAAAGTTAATTTTCTCTCCTCTGCACAAATTTCAACCACACAGTTTTTACTTTATAAATCCACGTGAAAATCAACTTTGGCCAACCTTTTTAGGACGGAAGGAGTATTTGCTTTCACTCAAAAAATGAATGAAAGAGTAATTACTACTAATGTGGTGAGATTCTTAAGAAAAGTGGGGTTAGGTCGTTGATATTATAATACTCTCTTCGTCTCACTAACAATGGGACAAGAGTGAGTGACATGCAAATTAATAAAAAAGAGTGTATGTGGTTGATATTAAATTGATAAAGTAAGAATAAATTAAGAATGATTAAGAACCACACAAATTTTACTGATTTTGTTATGAGACAATCTTAGTGGGACAGTCCAAAAAGGTAAAATCACACAATCTTAGCAGGACGGAGGTGATTTTGTTGTATTATGAATCAGCTGATTTTATTGAATTTTATAAAGTTTTAGCTAAAGTGAGTGTGCTTGCTGATTTGGCTGAATTATGAAAAATAATGTATTTAAAATATATTTTATTAATGAGGTATAAGAAAAAAATGAAAAATAGTTAAAGTGATCCTCTTTATATATCAATTTAGCCAATGCATCTGAAAGAATAACGCAAGCCTTAATTATTTTAAGGAAAAATTGATAGTAATAATCCCAATTATTGGCGGTCCGCTTATAATAATCCTAACTATTGATTATTTCAGAATAATCCCAACTTTAGGGACCTTCCGCCAATAATGGTCCCTAAGAATAAATTCTTGTAGTTTATAAAGTGCATGAGAAGAGATATAGCAAGTAATGCCTATAAATAATCCCACCTTTTAATTTTTACACTTAATTTCTATTTAAAATTCACTTTTTATAGGAGTTAAATATGATCATGGACCATTATTGGCGGATGGTCCCTAAAGTTGGGATTATTCTGAAATAATCAATATTTGGGATTATTATAAGCGGACCGCCAATAGTTGGGATTATTACTATCAATTTTTCCTTATTTTAATAATTACAGTATTACACGACATAGTGAACGAAATCAAAAGTTATGTTTTGGGTGAAAAAAGTGACTAATAAGACCGATACATTGAAAAAATTGATTCACCAAATGGGCTTGCATATTTATTCGGAAACATTATTTATATGTTAAATCCAGGATCAACCAATGAAGAAAACAAAAAATAACAGAAAAGAGTAAAGAGAGATGAGTAAGGATAGTGACGAGTGATAAATTAGAGTATTGAAAATGAAAAAGAATGAATATAAACTTTTAGTCTTTTAGAGACAACATTTTCTATGGAAGAGTTGAGAACATATTTAAGTCTGAATAACATCTGCAAATCAAACTTAAATGATATGTTTTTTTGGTTAATTTGCACTCCATGCTATCTCAATAATATACGTGCATCAGGATTTCCGAACCATGGATTGATGGTTAAAGTTGGCACTTCAAAACACTTTTAAGAAATATTGATCCTTCTATATGTGGGGTTATTCAATAGAACAAGGTTGATTATTACACGACTATGAAATGATATCATTGGAGCAATAAAAATTATAAGTGGAAAATATGTTCGGTATGAACGTTCAAAGGTTAAGCTTAACTCCACCGGATTGAATAATATCATTTAAGATTCAAAGAAGACAATTTCCCGTCATGACCTCTTATGGGGAACATGACTAAGAATGAAGATCAATCTTTATCGCGTATTGGACCCTCATTAAAAAAGTCAGTGTTTACGCGTTATCAACATTATTGAAAATCATAAGAGCTTGAAAATATTTATTTGCAATGAAAATGGAGAACAAATAGATCATTTCTACCAATGATGTTTACACGGAAGTGTTGTGAAATGTATAATCTACAAAAGTCTTAATATAGTATTTAGTTTTCCTATTTATTCCAAAATATAATTCTCACCAATTACAAGTTATTAGTATCTTTTGCTTAATTATAATTATTTTTGTATAATACATCTATACTCTTTTGCATTAACTTAGACATTAACTAATAAGGTTAACAAATAATATGTTAGAATCATTACTTAATATATGTCCCGTGCATCGCACGGGTGAAAATCTAGTCTACTAGAAACTTTTGTAGTTATCCCCTTATTACTTTTAGGCTAATTTGAGAATTAAAATAATGTACAATTAATTATTCACATTTTTAAAATATATATATTAAAAAGTTTTAAAAAACAAAATAAAAATATTTTGAATAACATGATAAAGAATTAGATGAAATCTATTAGTCATTTGATTGTTTAATTGTCAAACAAAAGTTAATCTCCCAATATCCCATACTAATTTATAACTGAATATTTTCTTAAAGAATCTCAAAAATCAATATGAAATGATATTCCGACTAATCCGTGAATTAACTAACTTATAGAAATTGCTATAGTAATTTGAACTCTTACATTTATTATTCAATAAAATTCAATTGTTACCAAGAACATTTTGGACTGTATATGTAGTTGTCTGAAAATTTGATCTTTTTTTTGGAGGAAAATTTTGATCTTTTAATTACTCCGTATTATATATGTAGTATTAGCTTCACAACAAGTAATTTGTTATTGAATATTGTTTTGCGCGGTGGATCAGAGAATTATTTCCTAGATGGCTAGATGACAAAGAATTTAATTCCGAAATCTATAAACAAAAAATTTCCAATCACTGAAGGACTGAGCAACAAGCCCATTGAGCCCTTCACCGGAAAAAAATGAGTTAGTATCGTGTGGGCCTATGGCCCACTTATCAGATAGATAGTACTTCGTATTAATTAAACTGATAAAAGCAGATACTGCACTCGATCTTAGCCAAAAGGCCGAGAAAGGTATGAGCTGTAGTGGAGACTGAAAAGTGGAGAGCCTATTTGTAAAAAAAATGGAACCAGCTGTCTCCTTCCATATGTAACGGTGTGGGACAAATTCATGGGAGAAAATTGCTCCATGTAAGACTTAATCATAGCATTTTTATAAAAATAGTACTTACATACGTTTTTTCTTTGCGTAAGAGCCATGTGGTTCTATTTTTGAAAACTGGATTTTAAACTTCCAGTTTTACCCTTCTTTTACGTGACCTGCTCTGCTATTGAGCTATTATCAAAATTTATTGTCTGTTTAATGACTACTTAGTGTCTATGTATTGTCTGCTATTGAACTATTATTAGAACTTATTGTCTGTTTACTGACCATTTAATGTCTATGTATTGTCTAGTGTTTGCAAGTTTGATTTTGGATCTGATTTCTTCAAACATTTTGCAGAATACCTGTGGCGTTGTAAACGTTTCTTCAAACGTTTAAAATGTTTGATTAAAAAATTTCCAAATCCAATTATTGAAATTCATGTTTGGATCTATCTTTTCATATTTTAAACACAGGCCACAGCCTTGCATTTTGGATCTATGTTTCTGGATCTTAAAATCAGATCCAATCCTTGCATTTTTGGATCTATGATTTTAGATCTTAGATGGAAAACAAAAAAAAATTAAAAGAAGAAAAAAGAGGACGAACGAGGATGATGTAGGATGAGGAAGAAAAGATCGGAAGAGG